CGACGACTGTTTGTTTGATGACAGGAGATATTTCGTCTTGCCCTCGTTCACTGCCAGACCCATTTGTGTTGCYTCCTTGTCCAGTCTGGAGAAAGCAGAACTAACGGCGCGGGTGTTGAGGCCAATGATATCAATATCATCGGCATACGCCGTGTACGACTGTACACTCTCTCTATTTAGTTCTGCAGCTCGAATTATTTTCTCCAACAGCGCATTGAAGAAGTCGCACGATATGGAGTCGCCTTGTCTGAAACCTCGTTTGGTATCGAACGGCTCGGAGAGGTCCTTCCCGATTCTGACGGAGCTTTTGGTGTTGCGCAATGTCAGTTTACACAGCCGTTTTAGTTTTGCGGGGATAGTAAACTTCATACATCGCGGCAGAAAGGGATCTCCTTTTCGTGGTGTCAATAGCAGCTTTGAAATCGACGAAGATTTGGTGTGTGTCGATCCTCCTTTCACGGCTGTTTTCCAAGATTTGGCGTATGGCGAATATATGGTCAGTTGTTGATTTGTCATGTCTAAAGCCCCACTGTTAAGGTCCAATCAGGTTGTTGACGGCGGGCTTTAATCTTTCACACAATACGCTCGATAGAATCTTATATGCAATGTTGGGGAGGCTTATCCCACGGTAGTTGGCKCAGATTATGGGGTCTCCTTTTTTGAGGATTGGGCATAGCACACTTAAATTCCAATCGTTGGGCATGCTATCGTCCGACCATATTTTACAAAGAAGCTAATGCAAGCTCCTTCTCAGTTCTTCGCCGCCGTGTTTGAATAGCTCCTCCGGCAATCCATCGGCCCCCGCCGCTTTGTTGTTCTTCAGGCGAGTAATTGCTATTCGAACTTCTTCATGGTCGGGCAATGAAACGTCTGCTCCATCGTCATCGATTCGGCAATCGGGTTCGCCTTCTCCTGGCGTTGTGCGTTTACTGCCATTCAGCAGGCTGGAGAAGTGTTCTCTCCATAAATTAAGTATATTCTGGGCATCGGTGACTAGATCACCTTCGGGGGTTCTACAAGAGTATGCTCCAGTCTTGAAACCTTTTGTAAGCCGCCGCATTTTTTCGTAGAATGTTTGAACATTACCCCTGTCTGCCAGCTTATCAAGCTCTTCATACTCACACATTTCGGCCTCTTT